AGCCTCGTCACCTTGATTTTTCTTTGATTTCGCATTATATTCTCTTGAGAAATACCCTTGTGACAATTGTAACACTTTACACCACTCTTCTCGACTTTTTGGTGTAGTTACCTTGACTACCACCTTTAGAGTTTCTCTCTCTCCTTTGCACCATTGAAGCCTTTGAATTTTGTGACTGTTTGCCACCAAAATTCTAAGAATTTGTCTTCCCTTTTGAAGACCATTTTCTTTTTTATCTCTTATTCTTCTCGTTGAACCGTGCTTGTAACGCAATCTCCTATTTGGCCTTCTCACTTCCTCTTTCATCCATCCTTTGTTCATGAGCCTCTAATGAGCTTTGAAGCTCCTCCTTGCTCATTGTAAGAAGATCCTTTAATTCTTCTATTGCAACCACTATGTTGTCAAATCTTGGTGTTAAAGAACGCGAGATCTTTGCTACCAGATTTTGCACCGTCATGGTTTCATTGTAGGACTTCATTTGATTCACCAAACGCGTTATACATGTAATGTAATCATTTATTGATTCCTTCTCTTCCATTTGCACTAATTCGAACTGCTTCTTGTGAGTTTGTAACCTCACAACCTTCACTTTATCCGTCCCTACATAAGCTTTCTTCAAAATCTCTCAAGCTTGCTTCGTCGACGTGCAATCTTTAACCTTTTCAAAGTTATCGTTGTCAACACAAGAATGTATCAAGAAGAGTGCTTTATAGTTTTCTTCTTCTCTTCCTTGAATATAGTTTATTATGCAGTTTTAGCTTCTTCCCCCAAGAGGTGTAACACCATCGCTAACGACTTCAAGAACTTCTTAATACCCAAACAAAACTTTCATTTGTTTGCACCAATTGTCATAGTTCTTGAAATCAAGAATTGAAAGGTTGGTAAGGATTCGATCACTGGAAACGGTAGACATAATTTGCAGCAAATTAATGGATCAGAACCAGAACTCTTGATGTCAAATGTTAGAACATGCACAAAATGAAGTTGGTAAATTAATAGTGAAAATGGTTAATTGGAGAAGATGAAGTTGATATATATATATATATATATATATATATATATATATATATATATATATATATATATATATATATATATATATATATATATATATATAAATATATATATATATATATATATATATATAATATATATATATATATATATAGTATATATATATATATATAGTATATATATATATATATATATATATATATATATATATATATATATATATATATATATATATATATATATATATATATATATATATATATATATATATATATATATATAAGTATATATATATATATATATATATATATATATATATATATATATATATATATATATATATATATATATATATATATATATATATATATATATATATATATATATATATATATATATATATATATATATATATATATATATATATATATATATATATATATATATATATATATATATATATATATATATATATATATTATATATATATATATATAGAATAATTTAGGAACAAGAGGGAGTATTTATAATGTGCTAAAAATTAACACAAAATAAAACACACAAAAAAAAACTGTTATAAACAGCAAACAGAAATTCACAGTAGAAACCGATTTTCATAAATGAGAAAACTAATTTCCTCTTCAAAAATTCCAATTTCTACACAGGCACAGAACAGCTTTTCAAATAAGTTATTTTCTCAAAAACAGTTTCCAGAGACTTCTAAATAACTTTTGACTTATACATAACATCCAATAATAAAGTCATTATTATATGTTAATGATATCGTATAGAGTATATATGAGTGCAACCACTCCATAAGTAGGAGGTTTATCCCTATAAATATGATCACTCAATCATTTTATATACTTCTAAGTTTGAGTTGCTTTGGAATATATTTGAAAATTAGAGTGCTAAAGAAAATTTTATTAAAAGAGCCTTAGAAAAATCTTGTGGAAAATAGGTACCCATAAAAAAACAGAGAAAAATAAAATAAAAAGCAAAAACAAATAGGTACCAATAAAAGACAAAGTCTCATATAGCTTAGGATTAATCAGATTGTGGTAAAAGAAAACAAAAAATTTGAAGGGTGGATAAATAAAAAAATATAGTGTTAAACTCCAAGAATTTAGTCTACTTTCCCAAATTTATCCTATATTAATTTAAGTCATCTTACAACCTTTACAACATCAATAGTTTGTGTAATATGATTTCATACATTGTTTAAAAACTTTTCACATTTTTTTGTAAAATGATATGTGCATTTGATTAAGTGTACCTTCATACATATGTTTCCTCGTTCTCACCCAAAGTAGATCATTCCACCATCTAATGCATCACCTACTTTCCAAGTCAATCAAACAGATATCCACATAGCTCAGCATGTCACTCACAAGTGGTTTCAACGGCTCAGTATATAAAGTAAAAGCTGTGTCATTCAAATGAATTCAAACTTTAACCTTTGCAAGTACACCTCATACCTTGAACATTTGAATGTTAACCTTACAACTACACCCTCACCGGTATAAGAAAGCCCAGTGCACCTTTTCACAACTCTAACTATGGTGACATCAAGAAACACTCCATAAGAAAAAATTGTTGAGATTGCCACTACTAAACCACTTGAGACGTTTCCGACCATATGAACAATAATACTTGCTTGACCCTAAAACCAATATCTTAGACATAAACTTATTTGCATTCATGTGAACATCCAAGGATTCAATGTAACAATTTTAAACATAATTTTATCCAAAAATTGTTGTAGTTAAACAACATTGTGAGTATTTTTCAAGTATAATATAATATTAGTTATGGATTTGCCAATAAAATTAATGGTCTTAAATATAAAATAATAGTAGATGCAAGAGTTCTGGCCTTTGGGCAGTGCCACCAATCACTAGGAAACCTTGTATGCAATTGAACAACATACAAATGGATGCATAGCAAATAGCAATAGAACTGTGCTACAGAGACTATAGGAGCGATTATGCATGAAGTGAGAAGAGAGCAAAAAACCAATCTAAGGAAGTTCAACCTTGCTAAGCAATTAAATACCATTCAATAATACAAAATAGAAATACTCAATCTTATCAAAAACAAAATTTTAGAAAGAGGAAAACTCTTGTCTCAGCTATTACAGCGACCAAAATATTAATCCCAAATTCAAATACACCAAATTTAAGAACCTTTGAAATGGCCAAAACATTTAGAAGACGCGGTAAGATTTGCCCATCGAGCTCTTCAGATACAAGCACCTAACCTGAAACCAACAATACATTATATGTTATAAAACAGAACATGGAACCAAAAACAGAGCAGCATAACTAAAGAACGTATATTGTAAATATTGAAAACAATGTGCTGGTGGATATTGAGTGCATATTGTTTGCCATCCTATGTCAAAAGACTATAACTTAATTACTTCATAATTATACAATCAAATGGAAGTGCCTATTACTGTGCACCGTCCAATGATACATAAGTCAAAATAACCACAGTATGAAATATATGCGATGTTATGAGTGAAATACTTACATTTTGCCAGTTCTTCTTCAACAAGGAGACGAGGAAGTTGACGCTCAATTGTACATTTTGGAAGATCTGTTTTTCATCCATACTGACATTACCAACAGCTACTCCCATGCAAAGCACTTTCTTAAGCTGGAATTTGACCATAGCCTTAGTCTCATTAACCTTGGCTTCAAGAGATTCTTGGTGGGAAACAAGTGTAGGAAACTTTCCTGCAAAGCCATATATCAAAATCAGCCTAGGCAAAAATTGAAATTCAAAAGGAACATGTCATGGAAATTTTCCAAAATAAACTTCTAATAACTAATTGGAAAAGACGCGTGCAAATAGTGTAGGAAATAGTTTTAAATTGCGGTCGGCAACAACAATGGTGGCTGTAATATTGCTGATGCAATAACCTCCACAACAGCATCGGACCGCAATTGCGGTGTGAATTAAAATCGTGTCTCTGGCCGCTATTATAAACTACATCAGACAATTGTACTCATGTTTCTTCAAATATTTATATCAAAACTTCAAAATTTGAGAACTCAAAACTCAATATACTTGCTATATAATAAAAAAAAATCTTAAAATAAAGTGATTTTTAACATTCAAACACATTGTTATACAAATTCACACAGCCAGCGGCCACGATGAACACCTCATTAACTGCAATGACCACAATCAAACATCTAAGACTAATTTAAAACAGTGAGTTTAAACATATATAGTACTAAACACGACGTGTAAGATAAACAAAAAATAAGGGACCAATATAAATAAAATGACAGCAACATAAAACAGAAATTATAAAACAGTATCAAATCAAATAACAATTTCCTTGCAATGTATAAATGCTAACAATCCAAATAACCACAGAACATAAAACACGTGCCTGCCTTGTTTAGACCAGGACCCAACAAACGTGGAATCTGCTTGATAACAGCTTCAGAAGCTAAAAAGGCATGGTGCTTCTTTGCCAATTTCTTCACCAGTTTCTTGTTTTTGTTTAGCTTCTTCAAAGCTTCAACATCCATCGAGTCCAATCCAATTTTCTCAGCCTAGAATGTTCATATTAGATCAGAATATCAGATTAGAGTACAAAACATTAAATCAAAACTCAGCAACAAAAAAATAACAAGGATTCAAAGACAAACAAATCACTAGATATAAAACACGACATCACTAAATCTCTAACCTAAGTACTGATTGAACGGAACAATTAGACTAAAAAAGCAAAAAGTGTTACCTCTTCAACATGCTGAGCATCTCCGAGCATGCAAATTCTCATCTTGGGTCTAGGAATGTGAGGCAATTTCACAGAGCCACTGAAACGCTTATCCTTTTGGGGATCGTAGTTCTTAAGGCCAATCTGGAGTTCAATAGTCTCAACAAATTTACGGTTTTTCTCCTTGGAATCAGCCATGATTCCGGTAATAGCCTCTCTGACAGCCTCGCTTGAAAGCTTACTGCACAATCAACAACAAAATATTCAACCCATTTTGGTTTTCATTGAAAAAATGCATAAAAAAAGCATTGAGAATATGAACATGGAGAGAAAAGTAGAGAGAAAGAGATACCTCATCTTCGATAGCTGCAAAGAGGGAAGAGTGAGAAGAGACGGAACGGCGAAGGAAGGAGGGGAAATTAGGTTTTCTGACTTTACTTGTTTTTATTAGGGTTGGGGATTGGGTAGTTAGTAATGGGCCGATCCATAAGTAACAAACATAGAAAAATATTACTACTTCATACCCCCAATATACCCTTACTCTCTAAAATATCTTCTAATAAATAAAAAGTAAAATAAGTGTAAGTTCAATTGAATTTATATAAATTTGAAAATTTGAAAATATTTAATTTAAATATTCAAATTTTAAATATTATAAAAAAATAAAAAAATATCTGAATATTCAAATCGGAAATTTTAATCAACATTTCAGAGTTATTTGTACACCAATATTGAATAATTGTGAGAATTAATTTGAATATTCAAATATGTTAATTGTCAGGCGAAGGCTCAATAAGAGAAAATCCACCTCTTATTTAGATCTGGACCGATTCAACTATCTTAATATATGAAGGATCTCACATGAGCAAAAAGGTATATGATTCAAATTTATTCTCTCTCTCGCATTATTTTTTATTCTCTCGCTGATTTAGGCATTTGAGTGTTAACCTTGTAGATAATCTCAATCTTTGTCATACTAAAAGCTTACTACATTGTGTCAAGGCTCTATTCCACCATCCGCTGAATAATTTTGGTTACACAACAAAACTATGGTGTCATCTATAGGAATTGACTTCTTATTCCTGTGAATTTCCACAACCAAAGCCAACTTTTGCGTTGAGATGAAGAAAACAACTTCTGATCTAACTTCCCTAAATATTACTATTGTATGGGGTAAAATGCATTTAACCCTAAATATATATGTGTGTATGTGTGTTTGTGTGTGTTATAGACCGACCATATGGATCCTCGACCAACCACTCTAAAGGTGCCACAAATTCTTCTAAAACCTTTTCAGCACACAAGAGCTACCATACATAAAAATATAGAAGATCCAGACTCTAGGTACATCTAACGGCTCTCCAAAATCCACGCCTAATAAATAGTAGTTTTTTATTTCCTTTCCTATATATATATATATATATATATATATATATATATATATATATATATATATATATATATATATATATATATATATATATATATATATATATATATATATATATATATATATAGAGAGAGAGAGAGCTAATTTATGTACTCAATTTCAATTTCAATTCACCATTTCCCCTCACATAGTGATTTAAGCGTTGGAGTGTAACCTTATAGGTCAGTCCCTTCTCCTCCATACCGGAAGCAAAGATCCACTGTTACCTTTGATCCTTGTTCCATTTCTGGTTCCAGTATGGTACAGTGTAGTCTTATGTGAGAAATGACTTCTGAGTTATGCGTTTTCCACAATTTCACATTCGCTCTTTGATTCGTCAATTTGAAACCTTCTCAAGTCATTGAATCAAGAGCATTATAAGTCGAACACAAAGATACATCGCATTCGATCCAATCAAGTATCATTTCAACTTTAATTTCCTAAAATTCCATATCTTTGTCTAATTAATGGTTGGATCCAAAGTTACTCACTCTTCTACAGTGTAAGAAGTTGTTACCGTTGCAGCAGCTCAAGAAGCGATCAATAAACAACTCAACTTCCTCTGCATAACATTATAAACTTAGGAGCAAAGGTTCCATTTTATGGTATATGCTCCTTAGATAGCTTGATTTGTCCAAATGCCTATTGTTTTACCCCTAAATTTGCCCTCTCACTTATCAAGATTTTTCTTACAAGACCTCATCGGGCTCAAGACTGCACTAGGGTTTGATCAACTCAAGACACCTCCTTATGCACTAATGACCAAAATTAGGGTTTGAGTTTGCACAAGTATTTTTGAACTATCAATGCCCCATATGACTTTCATGGATCATTATGGACCTCCAAGATTACTCATGTCAAGTTTCAAGCCTTGGATCACACTTTTGATCAACCAATTGAACAGTTGACCTAAAAATCAACTGTATTGGGGAAAAAGTCAGCCATGGCCAATTTACAGTCAAACTTCATAATTTTTTATCCACATCAACATTTTAGACTCATATGTATCATTTGACCAAGTTTGGACCATAATTCCTCAAGAAATTTGATCAAATCTCCATAAGGGCAAAATGGTCAAAATTAGGGTTTTGACTTGGAAAGGGCAATTTCTGATTTTTGACCTAGAAAATGGTAAATTGGTTTAAGTAATGATCTCAAGAGTCCAGTGGCATCATTTTGACCTAATGACATGATTCAAAACATTGCAAATCCTTTGGATTGACAGATGAATTTTGCAGTCAACTTATCAAAAGTCAACTGTATACTGAAAAGTCAAACTTTGACTTTTTGGTCAAATTCAAGTGCCAAAGATCAAAATTCATCAAAACATATCAAAATAGGAAACTTATTCATCAATAAATCAAGAAATCAAGATTTCATTTTGAAAAGTTAAAATTTCTAAACTTAGAAATTTTTCTAAGTGTTGAAAATTTCATATTTTTTCATAACTTTGAGCAATTTTTTAATTATG